TCGATTTGGGTGAGTATTATGTGGAATATTTGGAAAGAGAGTAATAGGATAACCTTTGATGGAGTAATGTTTCAACCTGTCTATCCTTAAGTCAAACATCTTAGTATTAGTGGCAAAACAGTCCTTAACTGACAAAGATTACAAGTTTATTTGTTATGATCAAATTATTATGAATCCTAAAAAAGTAGAAAACTTATCCCTCACGATTCAAAGAAGGCATGTATTATGGTCCCCTCTACCGGTGAACTTCTTGGAGGTCAATTTCGATAGTAGCTCTCTTGGTTATCCCAATTCAGCTAGATATGGTGGACTTATCAGAGACCATACATGTGATCTAATTATTTCCTTTTTAGATCATTACATTAATGCAACTTCTAATGAGGCAGAAGCTAGAGGCTTGCTAGAGGATCTAAGCTTATTTCTTTGTTGGAGGGTCAGAAGATCATAGAGAGAGACTTGACAAATATTATTACTTGGATAAAGGTGAATATAGATCACCTGGGAGACTAGGCCTCATACTAGATGAGATCAGAGTGCTCTTTCAGTGTTTTAGAGAAGCCAATTCTAAGGACGATTCGCTTGCAAAAGGTGGTGTCCATCAATCCTCGAAGGTCGTCACCACGTTCTCCTAATCTGGTGACTCTTTATTTTTTTTCTTACGCAGTATTTTCATTTTAATAGAAGGTTATTATAAAAAGGAAGACAAATGAATAAAGTTTATTTAGCTTTGAGATGACAAAACTATTTTTGTGATAATTTTGTTTTTCTTTTTCATATTGAACAAGAGTACTCTGTGTCCTACTAGTGTTACATTGATGACGATACATGTGTTTATTACATGTCTTAATTTTCTAGTCCTTTATTCCAAAAATCCACTACTTGACGTCACTAAAACTTCCAAAAATATAAGAAATGAAATGTAAAAATTTAAAGTATTCCATGCAAGACAATTTAGAAATATATTATCACTTTAAGTTTTTGAGTTTTTAAATAATGTTCACTTTTAAAAAAATTAGTTATGGAAATGTTTATATAAAGTAGCAACTTTATTTGTAAAAAGAGGTTGCAATAATTTACACTATCCATTTTATTTGGAGGATATAGATTCGAGACACTCTTAAAAGGCATGACAAGTATTGACATTGACTTAAAATATGTATCAAATCTATACCATCCAAATAAAATAGGCGGTATAGAGTATCATAACTTTATTTATACAAATAAGGTTGCAACCTTATACAAACAACGCTTTTAGTTATAACATCCTAAAAATTGTTGACAAGTACCCATTTTTATATGACAGTAATATTTAAAGAAAGTTATATATACCCCTTGGACCATATTTTCTCGGCAACGCTCAATATTTTTAAAGCACATCACTTACCTTAATAGCTTTTATTTTTACAACCCCCGTCCTCCCAATAAAAAATATATGATTGCTTCTCTCTCTTAAAACTTGAAATTTTAGATTTTAGATAGTTAAATATCTCAAAATATTTAGAGAGAGAAAATACCTCAAATTTCAAATGTTTAGAGAGATATGCTACCTTAAAACTTTTAGGGAGAGAAACTATCTTAAATTTCAAGTTTTAGTAAGAGAAATTATCTCAAATTTTTAAAAAAACTTTTAGTTAAAGTTAAATAAGTAAAAAACTTGAAGTTTCAGATAAGTTCTCTCTCTAAAACTCGAAATTCAAGATAGTTTATTTCTCTAAAAAATTAAAAATTGAGACACTTTCTCTCTAAATTTTGAAACTTGAGTGGTTTTTCTCTCAAAAAATATGAAATTTGAGAGAGTTTCTTTATCTAAAATTTGAATGTTGAGGCTTTAAGAGAGAAAGTACCTTGAATGTTGAGGCTTTAAGAGAGATGTAAAATTAGAAAGTATTAGGGTAGTGCTTGGTTTAAAAAGTACTAGGGGGTATGGTTAGAGAGTGTGTAATCAAGGGATATCTATAATTTTCCCTAATATTTACTTTTACCTTCTTTGCCTAAATAGTCAAACACCACACGCAACAACATCTATAACCATATCATACCCATATAAGAAATCGTAAAATAAAGAACGTTTGAATCTAGAAAGAGAAAGTGTTCGACAAAAAGTAGAGAGGACGAAAGTGAAAATGTTCGACAAAAATTAGAGAGGAAGAAACTTTATCAACAATACAATTTCCCCGCAAAGAATAGGATTTTTTTCTTCTTATTTTCTATCCAGCCAAGTTTATAATTAAAGTGAAGCAGTCCATAACCACTTCGATATACAATCCAATCCATAAAGATGTCCCTTGGTTGTTCCTGGAAAATCATAGAACTTAGCAGCCAGGTTTAAAAAAATAGATCGGTGATTCGAATTGGTCACGCTGATACTCGTGTCGGACGAAGAATTGGTGGATCGGATCGGAGAATCAGTGAAATCGACAATTTTTGTTTAAAAATATATTTTAAAACTCACTATAAATTTTTAAAATAGAATTCGTTTAGATCCTAAAAGAATTTTGGAGTGGTGCATTATGTACTTTCATGAGTTTGTAAAAATAGGTGAATATAGAGATACTATTTTCCTATCTAGATGTCTGTACTCTATATAATTATCAATTATACTACTACTAATACAGTACTATAATATTACATCAAAATAATTTAATAATATTAAAAAATACTTCTATATTACAAGATTTAAAATAATCATTTCCCATATAGAACATATTAGAAAACACTTCATAATAGAAATATATTTAAAAAATACTATAATTTCTCCAAAATCTAATTTTTTAGGTTTCTAAAAAAATAGTGACAAAAATCTTATTTTCAACTATAAGAAAAAATAATACATAACATAATTTATAATGAAAATAAAATTACAATATTTGCTTATCAATGTATAATTATAAATTAATATTATAATAAATATTTTTGGTTATTACTAAAAATATCTATAATTAGTATTTTTTAAGTTTTTTAAAAAATCAGAGGTGTTACATTATGTGCTTTCATTTGTTACAAAAATACGTGCCTATGGAGACGTTTCCCAATTTGGATGTATCTATAATTATTAATTAAATTAAATATTATAATATTGCATTAAAATGATTAATTTTTTTTAAAACTCCATTTTATATAATTAAGAAAATAATACCCCTTATTGATTAGTACCACATTAAATATTGATTACCTATCTTTGCTCATCTAAAATTAAAACGACTAACTACCTATAATATTATATATTGAAATTAGAGTTATTAATTTATATTTTACAATTATTGTACATACAAATTAAAATAAATTTAAATTTTGTCTTATAATATCATCTAAATTTTAAAAACTTAACAACTATAACAAAAAATAATATATTACATAACTATAATACAAAAAAAATAATATATTACATAACTATAATACAAAAAAAATAATATATTACATAACTATTAATAGGATACACTAGAGGGAGATTGTTATTAAAATAGGAGTTTATAGAGAGAGAGAAGGCGAGAGAGAGAACAACGAGGTGCAAAGGTGGGATATTGTTATTAAAATAGGAGTTTAGAGAGAGAGACAAGGCGAGAGAGAGAACAACGAGGTGCAAAGGTGAAGGTTAATTAGTCCCACGTCGAAAATAGAATCAGGCTTTTTCCTATATAAAGGCTCAACACTAAGCCAATATGGCATTGCATGTTTAATACATATGAGGCGGCTTATCATTAGTTGGGGAGCCACAGATTCTTTGATTAAGAAGTTGATTTATTGTAGCGACACACTAATCAAAGCAATGGTTTGAAAAAAAATGGATCGGTGATTAGAATCGGACACACTAATCAAAGCAATGGTTTGAAAAAAAATGGAACGGTGACTAGAATCGGTCACACCCATACCCGTGTTATCGGAGGAATCGATAATTTTTGTCCCAAAAAACTTTCAATAAATCTCTAAAAATATTGTTCTAAAAGAAATTAGGAGTGATGCATTATGTTTTTTTATTACTTTATAAAAATAGGTGAATAATGAGACGACGTTTTCTTCTATGGATGTCTGTATAATTATAATTATATAATATTGCATCAAAATAATTTAAAAATATTAAAAAATATTCCATATTATAAGACTAAAAGTCATAAATTTTCATATAAAGTGAAATTAGTATCACCTCAAAGTACCAATTATTTAGTAATTCGGTTTACTCATTGCAAATTATCACAACCTAACTAACTATGTTATCATATGCGGAATTTGTAATTATATTTTATAATTATTTTACTATATAAATAAGAACAAATCTAAACTGTCTTATATTATCGTCTAATTTAAAAATATTATTTACAATAATAAAAAAATTGTATTATATAATTTATAATTCGAATAAATCAATAAATATTAATTATAATTTCATAATAAATTATATCATTGAAATAAGAGAATCAAACATAGAGGACCAATGACAAGGCTATTAATTTATAATTTTTAATGTATTATCATTGAAATAATAAATTTTTAAGAAAACGGATGGGCTTAATCAATATATAGATAATTAATTACTAATTTACAATATTTGGGTTATTAATGTATAATGATAATATGTTAATGTATTACTTCTTATATTCAAGTGATCCATCTTAATAAAAAATATAATATATTAATATAGTAGATAGGCAAATAAAATAACTAAAAAATGTACTAACCCAAAAAAAAAATAAATAAATAAATAAATGTTATATTAGAGAGAGAGAATGCTATTGGCGGGTGTGAGAGAGAGACTGCTAATGGCGGGTGTGAGAGAGAGACTGCAGGGTGCCAGGGAGAGAGAGGGAGACGCTAATTGGGTCAAAGTGAACCAAGAAGCATGTGTGAATATCAATGTATAAAATAGTCAAAGAGAAATCTCGAATTAAAGTTAACAAAAAACGAAAGAAAAAAAAGAGAGAAATCTCGAATTCTCATTCCTTTTGATGATTTCTGCATGGCATTCAGCTGAATATATTTATGACCAATGTTAACACAACAATTACAATAAACAGTATATTAAGCTGAATATATTTATGACGAATGTTAACACAACACTTACAATAAACAGTATATTAAGCTGAATATATTTATGACCAATGTTAACACAACAATTACAATAAACAGTATTATTAAAATTTTACAAACCTATGAAGTTTGTAATGAGTTTTTTTCACATAGAAACCTTGCACAATATATGTATTAGGCAGAGGAGCCCATATATCCTCCAACCCATCAAAATATAACCTTAAAAAATTCTTACAAGGTACATAAACAAGGAAAAGAAAAGTAAACATAAAACAAATATTTTTCACCATCACTTTCTTTATTGGTTTTATAAACTATACTTTTGAATTTATTTAATAGTATATTTTTCTTTTAGGTGATATTATTTTTCATTTTCATTTATGAAACCTCAGAAGTAGTAGACCCCAAATAATTGGGATAAAGCTCGAATGACGATGATGATTTACGAAAACTAACGAGCCCAGTCTTGTAACCGATTGTTTTCACGTCTTCTTGCACTTGTTGTTGAAATTCACAAAAAGTGAACTTTTTATATAACGAAGGCTCTTTGTAACTTGTTATCAGTGTGTCATGTGAGGGACATAAGAAATAAGCCACTGAAAACCTCTCTTGTTTATTGGCAATCACTCTATGCTCAACGCTCTTGTACATGTTGTTGCTCAATACCTGCAAAAGAACAATGACGCTTATTTTACATATCATGCTCCTAACTACTATCAAATTCATTAAATCATGATTTCGTATTCTTCTTTTTTAAGAAGAGAACTCACGAAGAAATATCTAAACTGGTATTTTTTTTTTTTGGGGTAGTTCAATAGGGATGGAGTCCTCTACTCATTGTAAGAATATAACTCAAGACATCTTGTTGTGGTGACCTACCATTCTAACCACCTTGCCTTGAGCCTTAGGGCTGAGAATTGACCTGATTTGGATCTGAAACATAGATTTCATATCCTCTTTGGATTCGGGTATGGATCCAAAATTTGGATCCGTAATCCCGACTCAAATCCAAAAATCATATCCAAATTAAAATCCAGATCGGATCTGGGTGCAGGTGGATCCGATTCAGATCCGACCTGGATCATGATTTGGATCCAACCTGTTTTTTTGTAAATAGTAAATTTTATTTTATATATGTTTTTTAAAATAGTGTATATATAATCCAGATGCGAATCCAATATACTATCCAGATTTAGATCTGGATCCAATGTATACTATTCAGATCGGGATCCGAATATCCAAGATTCGGTATGAATGAGGATCCGATCTGTATCCGATGTATACTATTCAGATCTGAATCCAGATCTAGTTGGATCTGGCCCCGATCCTACCCGTTCTCACCCCTATTGAGTCTATTCCTACCTCTAGACTAGTTGAAAGAGAAGGATGCATATTTATTTGAATATGGAGCCAAAGTTTCAACTTCTAAATTATGCATGTTTTACCGCTGTGATAGTGACGGTAGAATGTTCTATACTCCATGTTCGTCTACCAAAGAGAAAAGAACAAAAGTTTAATAAATTTTGTAAAACTTGACTACGAGTACCTGGAATAAATCTCCAACATTGACAATAAGAGCATCAGGATTAGGCTTAACAGTGACCCACATTCCATCCTTCATCAATTGCAATCCTCCGATGTGGTCTTGACATAGAACGGTAAGGAAATCACTATCAGTATGGGCCACTAGCCCGAAAATCTCCAAGGGCATCGGACATGGAGGATATCTATTCAACCGTAGGTAGCAAGAATTCATGGTGCAATTCTCTGCAAACAATCTCGTTGTGATACCCATGTTCTCTACCAATGCTTCTGCAAGTTTCTGAGATAGATCTGCAACCTTTGTAGTAAACTCTTCAATGGCATACCTAATTCACAAACCACATAACATATACAACATATGTGATTTATAACATTTGTTTCCATTTAGTAAAGAAGGAAGATGCGTCAATAATCAAAATTGCTATTTTAATTTGAAAATGAGACTCTAGAGTTAGTGATTTTTTTTTTTTGAAATCCTATTAACATCATTTAGAAGTTTATAATAAATATAACATGATAATGATTTCGCCGCAAGAGGGAAAGAAGACAAGAAAAAAAACATGCATATATAACTTCTTTTTTGTGCTGCAGGCAAAAAAAACACCTAATAGTGGCTCATGAAACACATACAAATGCACTTATTGAGTAACGGTTCATACTTCATAGTTCATATCAATATATAACAAAATCAGAGATATGTTATGATACTGAGAAAAATTAGCAACAAAATTATACCAACTATATGGGTATTGAAGGAAAGTCAATTTTCAGTTGTCATTATATTTTTCAGACGATAGCGCATTTTTAATCATTTCACAAACGTATTTTGCAAAGGATTTGTCATGCTGAGAGCCTACACTCTGTTATATTTGGCCAATATATTTTTAATTATTTGTGATATTTGAGCATATCGCTACTATTTTAAAAAGTGTGCCATGACTCGCCTAAGACCACTCGGATGGATATCTCAGCCTCGCTAAGTTTCCTTGAGTTTGGTGTACAACTCGGGTATAAAAAAATCAAAAAGAATCTTTAAAAATTAAAGATTATTGGATGATTTGGATGTATTTAGTAAAGATTGGAGAATGTTTATGACATAATTACTATTTTTATATTTTTCTTTTTTTTCTAGAATTTTTTTAACCTCTCAAATTGTAAATCATTTATTTTTTAAGCTCATTTTAACTTTTTAAACTTGTTTTACGATTCAATTTATTTTTACCAGAAGTTTTTTATTTTAAAATTACTTTCTATTTTTATTTTTTAAATTGTTTAGGGCCAAAATGCCCTTGGACTACGCCCACCTAGTTCTAAATTGAGTTTATAATGATAAGATCAGATTCTAAAGAGTTATTAGATTTGACATATTCTAGCTTGTGAACCCCTTTAGATTTTGTGTTTTACAATCATGGATAAATTTTGATGGCAAGAAGTATACAGACCAGCTTGAAACTGTCCATTACTTTTGTCACCTCAATAAGAATATATAACCTTCAGCAATGATTTGATGCAACGGCTGCATCATACTATAATGCAACAATACTTCTAGAAAATCAGGTTTGTGTTATTTGTATGACCCAAAATTTGACGCACACATTTTTTTCATCTCAATTATCAATTCCCCAAAAAAAAGTTCAGAACCTTAGATATGGTCAAAATGAGTCCCTTCCAAAAACGAATCTAGACCATTCATTTGGTGAATTTCAAGATCTTAGCTTTCATAAATACAAAATCATTTTTTCTTTTTTAACATTGTTCATCTAATGATAATAAAGTCATCCAAAAGATTGGAAATGAAAAAAATCCTTCTAAGCCTTAGATCTAAGCATCTCACCAAAATGAATGGCCTATGTTAATTGGGTTAAAAAATACTTTCTAGGTTGTGTTTTCATTTTTATTTTATTTTTTTTGATTGTTTATTAGAATCAAAAGAGTGTATATTTCAAAATTTGGATCAAACAAATGGCCATAACATGGTTTTTGAAAGTTGTTGCATTATATTATGATGCAACCGTTGCATGAAATCATTGCTCTATAACCTTAACTTTTTACATCATAAAAGAGTCATGGGTCGTTTGGATCCCGAGGTAGTCAAAATCATGTTTTGTATACCCAGGGTATCTTGCATAAAAATATGTTCAGCGATTGTTTTTAATACATAATCACATTCTTTGTAAACAAGAAAGAGGGCCAAAACAAAGGTACACAAAATCAAGAAAAAAATTGAGTTATCCACGACTTTGGGTAAGTATGAAGAACGGAATACAATATAGGACACTGTATCTGTGTGGACATCGTGCATATTGTAGAAATGTGGGCTTGGCAATAAATATATTTTTTAGATATAATATGAGCTTATTTTTTAAAGAATATATAATCTTTATGCTGGAGATCATGAATATGAAAAAAGTAATAATTAAAAGCTAGAAAAAATAATTATATTAAGAACATATTTGGATCGTTAGTTATACTTGTTTTCAGATGGACCACCTATTTGCATCCATCTTTAAGATGGATGCTTCATACCTCTAGACCACATATTGTAGAAATGCGGTCCAGCCTACATAAAACAAATTTTCTACAATATAATACAACTGATAATAGAGAAAATACCTCAAATTTTAAGTTTTAGAAAGAGAAAGTATTTTAAAATTTTAAAAAGAGAGACTATATCAAATTTTAGAGAGAAACTATTGAAAATTTTTAGAGAGAGAAATTATATTAAATTTCAAGTTTTAGAGAGAGTGTATCTTAAAATTTTAGAGAGAGAAACTATATAAAATTTTTGAGAGAGAAATTACTTGAAAATATTTAGAAAGATATACCTTCACAAATTTTTTAGAGAGAGAAATTATATCAAATTCTAAGTTCTAGATAAATAACGTATCTTAAAATTTTAGAGAGGTAACTATAGAAGTTTCAGGGGGAGAAAGTATCTTAAAACTTTAGAAAGATGAACTATATCAAATCTAGAGAGAGAAACTACCTGAATATTTTTTGAGAGAGAAATTATCTCAATTTTTTTTGAAAAATTATCTTAAATTTTAAATTTTAGATAGAGAAAGTATCTTAAAATTTTGCAGAGAGAAACAACCTGAAATGTTTTTGAGAGAGAAACTATCTAAAAAATTTTAGTGAGATAAACTATATCAAATTTCAAGTTTTGAAGATAAAATATATTTTAAAAGTTTATAGAAAGAAACTATATAAAATTTTAGAGAGAGAAATTGTTTCAAAATTTTAGAGAGAGAAACTATCCCAAATTTCAAATTTTAAATAGAAAGTATCAAAAATTTTAGAGAGTGAAAATATATCAAATTTTAGAGAGAGAAACTATTTAAAATATTTTAGAGAGACAAACTATCTTAAAATTTTTAGATAGAGAAACTATATAAAATTTCAAGTTTTAGAGAGAGAGAGTTTCTTAAAACTTTAAAGAAAAGCTACCTAAATTTTTAGAGAGAGAAACAATCTCAAAATTTTAAAGAGAAATTATTTCAAATTTTAAACTTTAGAGAGATAGAGTATCTTTAAGTTTTAGAGAGAAACGATATCAAATTTTAAAGAGAAAAATCATCTAAATTTTTTTAGAGAGAAACTATCTCAAATTTTTTAGAGAGATAAAGTATATCAAATTTTAAGTTTTCTAGAGGGAAGCTATATCAAAATTTAGAGAGAGAAACAAATTGAAATGTTTTAGAGAGAGAACTATTTCAAAAATTTTAGAGAGAGAAACTATATCAAATTTTAAGTTTTAGAAAGAGAAACTATCTTAAAATTTTAGAGAATGATACTATATCAAATTTTAGAGAGAGAAATTACTTAAAACTTTTTAGAGAGAGAAACTATATCAAAATTTTGAGGGAAACCATCTCAAATTTGAGGTTTTAGAGAGGGAAAGTATATTAAAATTTTAGTGAGAGAAACTATATCAAATTTTAGAGAGAGAAACTATATGAAAATTTTAGAGATAGAAACTCTCAAAATTTTTGGAGAGAGGAATTGTCAACTATTTGAAATTTCAAAATTCTAGAGAGAAAAATTGTCTCAAAATTTTTGGAGAGAAACTATTTCAATGTTTTAAGAGAAAAATTATCTTAAAATTTAAAGTTTGATATGCTTTCGCTCTTTCTCTATGTGCAATAGTAAACCGGGTTATATAAAAAAGATGATCCAAATATGATATTTGCATAACCTCGGTACCATTCAAGGCCATCCAAACAAGTCCTACTTGAATAACCAGGATTTAATATAACTAAGGTTTGACATAACAATGTTTTGATTCAAAACTTGGGTTTGTTAACACATGGAGCCAAACAGGCCCTTAATATTGAAATCTAGTCGACCCAAAAGGAGCCTTATTCTACGACCATATCCCAGCCTTGGAACCCAACACAAAGACTAAAATAGATCATTTTTTATGACATAAATGAATACCCCGACGTGGCGCTTATGCAGTACAAACATGGATACAAATATTAGAAATATCGATATCAAAATTGACCTTTCAAATATAACAGATCCATAATTATTTTTTTAAAAAAAGTATGATAGGATTTCATTCGACATTTACTTCTATAGTTAGATTTCAATAAAATTGTTAAGATGTATTTATGTTTCTAAAGTCTCAGACATGACAAGATTTATGCGAACGAGAGATCAAATTGATAAAAGACAAACCTTAGGCTTTTGATCTCCTCGCTTTCTGAGATCCCGGATAATGGAATATGGAAGGCCTCTGACCATGAGAACTTTTCCAGAGTTTTGGGGTTGGGGGTGCCCCAACGATAGCTATCTTTAAAGATATGAAGCTTCTCTTTCTTGTCAAATGGCAACCTGAAGAGCTTCTCTTGCTCTCTCCTAATTGTGTTCAAAAGTTGTCCGGAGATTCCATGGTTAACCACCTGGAAAAAACCCCACTCTGAAGAAGCTCTCCCAATCTCTTTAACACAGCTCTCTCTTTCTTGGCCTGTTTTGTGAAGGAGAGGAGAGGCATCTATGAGTGGGAGGTCGTAGTCCTGGGCTGAAACTGTGTCGAGAAGGGGAGCATGAGGATCACATAAGAGGTCCTTGTAGGCCTTTTCAAATGGAGGATTGCATTCGTCCATTGCTCTGACATGGAGTAAAAAACAAGAGAAAAAGTTAGAATCTCATGAGAAAAACAAAAAGGAAAGAAAGAGAGTGCTTGTTTTGTTTTAGCCAGGCGGGTGGTGGTTCATTGAGGACAAACAGTGGACGGATGAAAACAAGGCTGCATTCCTAGGTATGCTGGGTTTTAAATATCATTTTTTTTTTTTTTAAAAAAAAAAATTTAGGAAAAAGTTTATATAAAGTTGACGCTCTAAACGATCAAATTAAGGCACACATCAAAAATTCTCTTGAAGATGTTGTTTTGATGCCCAAAAATTCTCAAATCAACCATCTTGACCTCAAGATGTATGGGCATAATGAAAAATAGATTCAAGTACACCTCAAAAATCCAGTAGGACAAGAAGCCTTATAATCAAATCATCTCAACCTCTCGAGATATATGGATGTAAAACAGTAAAAAAAAAAAAGAATTTCAAGTCTTAAATATAGTACATATTATAATAAGTTGCCTGGACTATCAATTTTTAAGATTTTCAAGTGCTTATAGACTTGCTCAATCTGCACTATTTATAAAAATTTTAAATTTCTTAATTAGGGTTTAATGTGGATTTTCAAGCCATTGTTAGGTTTCCAGCAACTCAACTATATCTTCCAACAAAATTTAGAAGTGCATCTTACTTGAATAGTGTAAGGTGGCACCTTACACAAACCTCACCCTTTAAAATGAGACTGTGACCCGACCTTGATCCTGACCCCGACCCTGACCACGACCCCGGTCTCGACATTCAAGAATTTGGAGCTAATGTAAAGGCTTTTATTTGCTCTTCGATTTGGGGATGACCCTAGGAGGTGGTTTAGTTTTATGGGATCAGTGCCCAGTCTTTCATGTTTGATGCAGCTGGATAGTAAAATTTGGATACGTATTGGTAGTCTTGGCTTGAACATTATGGTAGTGATAAAAGAAAAAGATTTCAAGCTAAAAAATAGTGCATATTATAGCAAATTATCTTGACTATTCATTTAGCCTTGAAAATAAAGTATTTATAGATCCGCAAGATCTATACCAGTTTTTGGGTTTCAAATTTCATAGTCAATGTTAGAAATTGATTTTAGAGTCATCATGGAGATTTTCGTTGCTGAAAATGGTTTCCGAATGAGGATTTGAGGTGAGGCTTTATTTTGTTTCCCTAAAGCCTAGGCCTTATGAAAACCTCATTCTTCTCAATATAAAAATTTTTACTGTTAAAGGGGATATAGGCATATCATTTTAAAATGCATTGCTCCATTCTATTCTATTCCTCTTAGCATGTCTATGATGTAAAAACTATAAAAGCAAAAAGTGGGAGAGAGAGTTCGATTGGCCCCATAAACCATGAAAGTAAAACAAGATATCAAAACAAAAACATGACGAGAGAGAGATGATTGTATCGCTTACTTGGATATGATAAAGAAAAGCTCAAACCAAAGCCTCGTCCACTCTTGATGAGAAGTTGTCCCCCTTCCTAGACATTTGCTGCAACGCTCTCGTCAACTCACAAACTGGGTATCTCTTTATAATGGAGAGAGAGAGAGAGAGAGAGAGAGAGAGAGAGAGAGAGAGAGACAAGT